ACGACGACGGGCACGCCACGTTCGTCGCCGTTTTCAGCTTCATCGCGCTACCCCCTGGCGCGACCGGCCAGGAGCACCTCGAATCTCTGCTATGAGCCAGCGAGAATCTTTTCGCGCGTCTATTTCTTTATTATGGTTTACGTTTCTGTTTGGGCTTTGGGCTTGTTGCGTTTCACTGGGTCAGGGTTTTCCCTTTTTATTCTTCGCGTTGAGATGGTCTTTTAAGGATTTTTCTTTTCTTCTGCGTTGAGGTAATTTAGTAGTGTGGCAAGAACTTTTATTCTTGCAGTTCTATGTACAATTATGTGCAAGTGATACAAGGTTAGATTATGCGAGACTTAGCCGACGGATGTCGACCGAGTGAGACTATGCGCGGAACTCGGGTTGATTATTGGCCTATCCTCGGTGTCTCTGTCCAGTTGGTCCACAAGGGAGCGCATCGAAGCAGAGAACTTTCCGTCCGGTTAGCTGTCCACGCAAAGGAGCGGTTGGCCAGAGCAGAAAACAAAAGGAATAGGGGTAATCGTGAAGGAAAAGATTGGTCAAAGTGGATTTGCACTTCCACTTATACCGATTCTTACGTATGCGTTTTAGTTTATGAGTAAGTTTATGTCTATTGTTCTCGTGTAACATGTATGTTTTTTTTTTTTGATTATGTATAAGTTCTATGGTTATTATTCTACCATATAGTATAAATGGAAATCAACGTAAAGTCGGAATGCAAGCAGAAATAAAAAGTTTGTATCAATCAGCGAGTGGGTATGTTCAAGGAAATTGTGACCTGCGATCAATCATAATGGACCGCGCACTCGGTCAAAGCTTATGTTATTATAACTACGCTATACCGTATACTATATAAAATGTAGCCTACTATAGCAGGACTTTTCTTCCTTCTTTGATTTCGGATAATTTCTTCGGATTTTTCTTTTTCCTTGCGTTGGGATAATTTCTTAAGATTCTTAAGAGTTTTCTTTTTTCTGAGATGATTTTTTAGAATTCTTCGTTCTTCTTCTATTGGAATAATTTCTTATTTTTCTTTCTTCAGTTTTATAGGAAATTATTGGGTGGGTTTTTGGTCTCCTTGGGTTGAGTGATCTATAATGATTCTTCTTTCCTTTTGCGTTCGGAGTTCCTACGATGATCTGGCTTATCTTCTTCATCGAATAAGTCTCCGTTTCTTTCCTTTTTCTCTTACGTTGGGAGATTCTGCGAAAGATTTTAAAATGACATTTGAGAATTTCTGTGTTTCGTGATTTAACTCCACTACGTATATAAAACCATAGTATCTCGGTTGAATAGATACGCGAAGGTCAGATTGAACCAACTAGTTTCCACTGAGAACGGTGTCAGAATTCAAGTCGTATTAAAATATGATCTCCTGATAATCCATTAATACCTCTGAATGCATTTAACGAAGAGAAAGAGGACATAACAATCCATAAAATAATCTATACGATAAACGTATGAAATACAAGAATTATGAAATACAAGACAACGAGATCTTTAAATTTTAAAGGTATTACAAGAGAAAGATATTAGAGCGATATAAATATCGATATAAAGATATCTTCAGATATACACACCTGCTTTTAATCATACCGTCGCAAAATACATTGGCGAAGATCAAAGTTTCTTGTATCTTATCTCTTCCAAAGATACACTTCAAGACACCATTTTTCCACTAACACGTTATTTTAAACTCTCAAATACTTCCCAAAACTCAGAAACTTAAAAATTGTCTCTGATAAAGATCTACTCTGATCCACGGTAAATCTAATTGATCCTTGCATCTTCTACACCTCCGAAAAAAAGTTGCGTTTCTCCCAAAATTCTTGGAATTGTCGAAAATTCACAACGATATCTGAGATTAGTATTACGTAGCTCGCCATGTACGCTAGTAAATGTGTACGGTAAGACGAGGATCTTGCTAGGACAGGTAGTTGGTCAGCGGCTTCGGTGCAGAACGGTATACCATGGCGGCCACCAATCGAAAGTCGCGAATCGCCATCGTCGGGGGTGGTTTGGTACGTGTTTTGACGTTCGAAAATAATTTTTTTGCAAAAGAAATAATATTTCGAAAAGCTTTTACTAGATATTCCAAGCTCGTGCGGAAAATTGATATAGTGAGTCTTTGATCTTTTAGGTTGGTTCTCTGGCAGCTTGCTATTTCGCAAAAAGAGGCCATTCTGTGAACATTTACGAGTATCGCGCAGGTGAACTTCTTAAGAATTTTCACTATTTATATATATACATATATATTCTGTTGTGTCTTCTTTTTAATTTTAAATTAGCATATAACTTGCTTTCTTATGTATTTAACATAATTTCCGATTTTCTTTTACTTTACAAGGATTGTTTAATAACTTTCAATTCTAAACGTATATTTCTCACAATTACGATGCTTTCGAGAATCGAAAGCATCGTAACAACAAGCTTTTTGTATTTTCCTTCTTGTTATTCAATGTTCAGTTGCTGTGATAGAAGTGACTTCGGAGCATTAAAATCCCTTCATATTCTTCCATACGCGTATTCACTTTTACGATAAATAAATATCGCGTGTTTGCCATTATTTTTTGTTTTTTAGAAAGATAATAGAGATGCAAAGATTAAAATTCGCTTATCATCATTTAGACACCAGAGTGGAGTATTCTCGAGGCCAGAGCATTGACTTGGCTGTGTCGATCAGAGGGCGGGAAGCTTTAAGGGCAGTTGGTCTTGAAGAGGCAGTGATCAGTCATGGCATTGCTATGCATGGTAGAATGATCCACAACAAGGATGGTACCCTGAAGGACATACCTTACGATATTGTAAACGGAAATGTGAGCAATTTTTTTAGAACTTCTACTCTTCTATGAAAGTTTCTATGTATAATATTTAAAAGGCAATAGTCACTTTTGAATGTTTCTGGCACCTTCTCTCTCTCTCTCTCTCCTTTGCAGTGCATTTACTCAGTCAGCAGACGACGCTTAAACATAGTTCTATTGAATGGTAAGTAAATATTCAGAAATTCATTGACGTACATCCTTCTCTCTCAAATAATTAGATAAAGATAATAACTAACATTTATTGAAACAATCCAGATAAGTAACAACTAATTAGGAACTTCGCTCGTTATTTCTCAATTTTGTGATAAGAAAAAGCTGCTTAAAACAAAAAACAAGACGTAACAAGATAAGTATAATAAAAAATGTGAGAAAGTTCTCGCTTTCTTTTCGTAATATTATACAATCATAAAGATGGTTTAGCAATTGCGTTTGAAAATGATCGTCACGGATTACTAATCAGCTGATGTGTAGACTTCTTGAGAACCGATTAATCGGATAGTCGGCAAATCAGTCAAAACTCTAATCTAAATTTAACCAAAAGATTTTGTAGGATCGATCATTTTGATAAAAATCGGATCTTGATTTAAAAGAATCGCGAACGAACACTAGATGCTCTTATGTTGAAAGAAAAATGACTGGATATCCGATAACGCGGCGGTGCGTGAAGCCACAAGAATTCGAGCGTGTCAAGTTTCTTGCTACTACTAGCTCGTGCCTCTTACGATCTTCTGCGTAAAACGCCCCAGTGCCATTTTAATCTGATATGTACATGAATACGTATGAAACTTTCCATACAAGATAATATCTACGCATTCTATTCTTTAATCCGTACAGCTTTAAATTAATCGACGAGGCATTAGACCTTTTCTATTCAGCATTTTTATCTTATTTTGGTTTGCACAAGCACCTTTAAATCTTCTACCATCTGTTGTCAAAGATTCCGTAGGTTTAAGTAGCTTTGTGACTGCTTTCCCAAAAGATATGCCTTTTTTAAACAATATTTTCTACTAATATTTACAGGCAGGATTTTGAAGTATTTAATTTCTTGTGATGGAAACAATGTTTTCTAAAAATTAAAAGAAGTTATAATGAAATGATAAAGCAAATTTCTGAACGAGCCGAGTTGAGTCCGACATTCGAGCTATGGCTTCATATACAGGGTGGTTGGTAACTGGTGGTAAGAAGTCGAAAATATAGAATAAAAATTTTTTTTTTTTAATTTTTCCTCCGAGAAAATCGACTTTGAATTTTCGCTCGGTACGCGTGCGGTGCGTTATAACGGATTTCACTGTAGATCGTTGTCTCGATGGAAAAATTAAAAAAAAAAAATTTTTATTCTATATTTTCGACTTCTTACCACCAGTTACCAACCACCCTGTATATGAAGCCATAGCTCGAATGTCGGACTCAACTCGGCTCGTTCAGAAATTTGCTTTATCATTTCATTATAACTTCTTTTAATTTTTAGAAAACATTGTTTCCATCACAAGAAATTAAATACTTCAAAATCCTGCCTGTAAATATTAGTAGAAAATATTGTTTAAAAAAGGCATATCTTTTGGGAAAGCAGTCACAAAGCTACTTAAACCTACGGAATCTTTGACAACAGATGGTAGAAGATTTAAAGGTGCTTGTGCAAACCAAAATAAGATAAAAATGCTGAATAGAAAAGGTCTAATGCCTCGTCGATTAATTTAAAGCTGTACGGATTAAAGAATAGAATGCGTAGATATTATCTTGTATGGAAAGTTTCATACGTATTCATGTACATATCAGATTAAAATGGCACTGGGGCGTTTTACGCAGAAGATCGTAAGAGGCACGACAATCACCCCCTTTCTGCTTGTATCGCCAGTTACCAACCACCCTGTATTTTTTACTGGATTTTCATTAAAATGTTAAGACGTAGAATATATCGCTACGAATTTTTTGAATTTAATGAACATGATAGGAATTCTTTTTATTCGATTTGATAAAGAATAGAAAATGATGTTAAATTTTCTACAAATCAAACATTTCAAAACTCGACACTTAATTATCCTTTATTCATTCTTTCTTCGTTTTTTTTTTTTTTTTTAAATTTTGCCTCGTCGAACAGCTGCCGATAAATACCCAGAAGTGAATCTTTTCTTCAACAAGAAAGTGGTGGATGCGGATTTAGATAATGGGGAGCTGAAGATACTAGAGTAAGAATATCTTCATAAAATAATTTAGAAAATTATTTTGCGTTACGTACAGCTCGTTGAATTTTGTAGCACGAAGACTCAAAGAACAGAAGAGGTAAAAGCGGATTTGATAATCGGCGCCGATGGTGCTTACTCGACTATCAGAAGAGTAATGGCGAAGAGGCCGCTGTTCAACTTTAGTCAAACATACATTGAACATGGTTACGTCGAATTATTCGTCCCCATTGGGAAAAATAACGAGGTAACTGCAATTTTTCTTTTCCACAATTTTTTTTACACATCTCAATTAATTTCCCCTATATGCGATTTTACTTAATCGAATTTAAATTGGAAAACGGATTTTTAATCCTGAAGAGAATTGAAAAATATTGCTTGGAAATTTCCATACTATTAGATTTCTAATTTTCGATACCATGTACAATAATTTAAAAAGAAAAGAAACGAATAAATAGAATAGATACGAGTCATTTGACATTGTTCACGAAATCTCGAAAATATGAAAACCTCGCTTGGATTGCAAGTTTGCGATGAGTGGTCAGCATTTTCATATTTGGCCACGGGGACAATTCATGATGATAGCCTTGCCTAATGACGACCATACATTCACTGGTGACATATTCGCCCCTTTCTCGACGTTGGACAAGTTGAAGACGCCGCAGGATCTCTTGAAGTTCTTCGAAGAGCAATTTCCGGACCTACTGCAATTAATTGGAAGGGAGAAGATAGTTAAGGATTATTTCGACAAGGAACCAAAGACATTGATTACTATTAAGGTGAGTCTGGGTGGATTTGTTGTTAATTGGAAAGGAGGCGTTAGTTGAGATGATTTTTATCTTATTAAGGTACGTTTCAAAGCTTTGGATTGTTTCGTTATATTTAAGATATTGAAATGGAAAATTACGCGAGATTATATATTTTTAATACTCCAGTTCCAATAATTTATCCAGTCTCTTCTTTGCGATTCGAATTAGTCATTTGGACTATTTCAGACAAAATCGGAATAAATAAAATAAATATATGGAATTGATTAAATAATAATATCCAGTGTGTGTATGGAATAGTATTCCATTCGAGTATCGTTGCTGTTAGACTGGAAACGTTTATTCATTTATATCTATGATAAGTATGAAATTAATAAATAAGTAAGAAACATGACAAGCTATATAAAGATGAGCAAAGGTATAAAAATTACAAAGGATAAAATATGTATTACCACATTTTGAAGATAAGATATATTTTTATCCAAATTAAATACGCATGAGTATTGGTAGTCGAATTATGATTAATCAAGTACATACGTACTTGGAATGATAACCATCTATTTAGTCTTAATTAAATTTATCTTATCTTTCTATTTTTTGTAAACACGCTGTAGTGCAAACCATATCACGTTGGAAAAACGCTTCTCGTTGGGGATGCTGCTCACGCCATGGTGCCTTTCTACGCCCAAGGAATGAACACGGTTAGTTTCATTCGATTTCACGTCTATTTAGCTTCATAAAAGATATCTTCCATAATCTTGGTCCTGTTACTTAAATAACCATCGTTATTAATGGTCTCACGAGTCTTTTTATAAATTATTTTCTTACTTTGCCAGGGTTTCGAGGATATTTTATTACTGGATGAGTTAATGGAACGCTACGATTCAGATTTCAGTTTGATTCTTCCAAAGTTCACGGAACTTCGATGCGAGGACGCACATGCTAGTTCCGATCTTGCCATATACAATTATATCGAGGTATTTTTCTCGTATTGAAATGCTATCGAAGTGAAAAATAATTTTTACCTCCTACAGTGATTCTCTTTTTTCTGAAATTCTTAATTATCATAAGAATGTTTATTTCATGCAGTAAAGCTTCGAGGCTTCATGAAGGAAATAGAATTTTTTAATTGATTAAGGTCGATTTTAATAATGCAAAGTGTATTTGTTTTTTTAGTTTCGAATAATGTCATAGTTACGGTAGAAGTAGCAAGATTTAAAGGATTTAACGGAGAAAAGGAAATTTGTTAATTGATTAAAGTTGATTTCAACGATATCAGATATTATAAAGATTAAGTACAGGTGTAAAATTTTCAGATGAGGGATTTGGTAACGAGGAAATCGTTCCTTCTTCGAAAAAGATTAGACACGTTCCTGTATAGACAAATTCCAAATACATGGATACCACTTTATAATACGGTTCACTTTTCAAGGATGAAGTTTCGCGACTGCGTCGCGAACAAGGAATGGCAAGACAAGGTGAAATGTTAATAAAAATATCAAGGAGATATATAACAGTTGTAAATATTGTTAAAAATATATATGCGAAGAAAGAATTATATTTTTATAGATCGTACGCAGGGCTGGCTGGTGTACACTGTTCTTGATTTTTGGAATACTGGCGGCTCCTGTAGTTGACGCATTTGCAAGAAAGAGCATTTCCTATTGAATACAAATAAATAAAGTGTACCATTACCTGGATGTAGAAGTGTGTCCATTGTTTTTGCAATAAGATATTATCGTTTAATATTATGGCGATCCTTTCAAAAGGATCCTTAGAAAATGAATTATACGTTTAAGTTCCATACAAATTTTAATTCTTCTGCTATATTTTTTTTACTACAGAGGATTAATTAATTATTTATATATTTGGTTTATTTGTAAATGTCTATTTGTAAATTTGGTTTAACATTTTCATTTATTACTATTTTTTTCTGTACTAATAAATATTAATTACGAAATATATCAGCTAAAAATGACACATTCAATACTCCCTAATCAAATTCTTCATACAATTCTTCACTAAAATTTCTAGAAAATATTTAATAGATAATATTATTAAACCACTAAATATCCCCATAACAGTGTCTCCAAACACTAACTACATTCAAAGTATCACAAAATACTTAAAATATTATACAATTTATTTTCCTTTAAATAGTATAAATATCTTCAGCGATAAAATAATTGTACCCCACATCTTGTCCTACTTTCTTTTCATAAATGATCATTATTTCGTGATATCACTATACAAACTCAAGATGCACCGAATCCGCGTTTTCGATGTACTTGTGTTTCTCGTGCTCGAAAAGGTTCACCAGGTGGCTGACGAATTTCTCGTGATATTTCTCGACTTGTTCTCTCGTTGGTTCTTCTATCTTTGGTAACTCCATCGGACTGCCGACTGAGAAAAAAAATTAATTAGCATTAAAGAAGCTGGAATTTCCTCTATGAGAAAATAAAAATTTTCAAACGTATTCCAAACACCAAAGTCTCTTCCCTAAAATTATATTTCTCGAAAGATTATTGTATTATAGAGCTAGATATTTCTCAGCTTTGAACACTTACCAACGACAGTAACTGGTTTCCGTCGAGGGATAAGACCGAAAGTGTATTGGAAGAATCCCCGACCAACCAGTAGAACCGGCGGTATACCGATTTTCTTACGAATGTACTCCTGTAGTCTCTTCACGAACGAGCCATCTGGCCAGGAAAATTGATCGAAAGTATCCGTTTCTCCGAATGAACAGACAGGAACCAGAGCGTTTCTGAAACAAACGAATACCGCGAGTGTCACTTCGATTTTTAAGCGACAGATGCTCTTGATTAAACCGCTGATTTATGTGACTCTATAGGGAAGTAACAGTTGCAATAATGTACAAGTGACTATACTTCATGCACGCTAAATCAGATTTGTGTAGGGCCACGGCGTTCAAAGAGACGAGGTTTCTACTGTTTTAAGTTCTCATGAGATTAAGATTCGAGTGAACGAAAAGAAAGATTATACCGACCCATTTTGCAGCGCGAGCTTTACAAAGCCTTTCCTCCTTTTTATCAGGATGCGGTAAGTGCCCGGCTTACATTCGAATACTTCTGCCGCTCCGCCGGGAATCAGAACCGTCGCCTTTCCGGTGTACGGTGGCGAAGGTCTTGTCGATAGTTGTTGATTCATGCACTCTGGAGTACTAGCAAGGCCGCCTATTTATATACCGATTTCAAATAAGTCATAATCATATGGTTGAATTATAATAGTTATTTGGTAGCAAAATAGCAGAGATGTAAAATTAGAGAAGTCAACCACCAAAAAGAAATCGTTGAAAAGTTGGTATGATGATGTAAGAAATGTTAGGCACTTGGACTTCGTGTTTTATGACTTTGTCATTTCATTAACAGAAATTACGCAGCAATAAAGTATGCGCATTAACAGTTGTATAGTAGGTACATTGTACAAACAGTTCAAAGTATTTCATTTATAAAATATGTTTCTTACGCTAGAGCCAATTTATACCGAAATGACCGTCATTAATAAACAACAGATATTTACATGTCTCAGACGAGATGTATTTGCAAAACATGGTGCAATGATTTTACTCTTCGTATTAAAGGATATTATGATTCGTTTCAAGATGCAACATCCAATAGTAAAATTAAAGTTAGAAATCATTAAAGTATGTAAAAACCATATTGTTACTTGGCAAGCTTCTTCCTTCCGGATTCTTTAATTTCTGGATTGTAAATCAGACGGAGAAGTTTCTTCTAAATTTATAGATAGGTTGTGAATGAAAATCCAAGCAACGATATTTGAACAGTAAAGCTATGCAATATTGCGTAGATATGCAGAACAAGTAGAAAATATATGTGTAAATTACTAAGTAAAATAAAGTTTTCATCTATTCATTCGAAAAAGAGGTATTTATATGTAAATGTAAATGTAGCAAATTTGTACCGTATATAGCAAATAGTAAGAAACATTATTGCCATGTTTCACAATATTTAATGAAAACTTTTAATCTATTGATTCTACAAAAGATAACAAATACTGCTTGTTAAATTATTAATAAATTATCCTCATCTACGCTGTGGTTAAATTCAAATATCGTTAATGAAACAATACAGTCGCAATACTTATGAATGATGGTGTAAGTACATGTGCATGCGTTTACAGTGCGTGGTGAAATAATAGTTAATGAATAATCCATACCGTTTAAGTGCAAATACTCGCGGAAAAGCGGTGATTTAAAAAGTTGATCAAGTACGACGACCCTAAATTCGAGACCCGGGAAAAGTTCTCTACAGCCGATGATGTCTGTTGCGAATGCACCATAAACTCCTGTCGGTAGGATCCCATGCGGGAAATTACAGAATAAATACAACTTGTTCGGATCCAAATCAGTGGTTTTCACCAATTTTATAGGAAAGTAGTTACAGAAGTATCGGTTCCACGCGCAGCTTCTCATCCACTGCAGGACTTTTCGCCTGTAGTACAGAAATCCAACTCGTTAAGTTACATCTCCGCCGATGGTTGTATAAATAAACGGCTTCAGTATTCAAATGAAATTTTCATTGCATACAAGTCGCACGAGAACTGGTTTGATTAAATTTTTTCTATGATTCTCGTCCAACGTACGTATCAAGTCGCGTTTCACTCTTTAGTTACTCGTTTATGTAACGAG